AATAATCATATATATATATATATATATATAATTTATTTTTTCCAATTAATTAAGGTAACTTAGATCATCAATTAAATTATGTCACTATTTCATATAAAGCACATATAAAATTATCGTCCTATTTCAATCAAATTTTTATAAAATATAATTATGATATTATAGTTTATAACAATTCATATTAAGAAATTAATAATTTGATTTTATATTTAGTTGATACTTACATATCTTAAACAACATATTAATTCATAATTAAGAGACATAATTTGATTAAAATGACAGTTGTAGAAAATAATAAATGATATGTAATTATTATTTATTAATTTATTATGAAATATAAAGGTGTATATATAAATAATTTAATTATCTTTTTCTTCCTTTTCCATGACCTTTGCCTAAAATGTGAGAGAGTGCATTTCCATTTACATCGGTCAAGCCAGCATCCAGGTCAAAAACACTTGCTCGGAGCTTTATTGTCTTGAGCATGACATTCAAGTTACAATTAAATAATATATAATTTAATTATAACTTATAATAATAGTATATCATAATATCTATTTAAGAAATGACTTTTTTTGCCTAAATTAAAAATCCCTCTACTAGCAAATGCTATTAGAATGACCCTTTTTCTCTATTTTAAAAAAAAGTACAACTAATTAGTATAAAAAAGATATTAAATAATTATTTTAGGTTAGATAGTATAGATTTTATATAAAAAAAAATTATAGAATTTTATCATAATTAATTAGCATTAATTATGAATTTAATAACAATTAAAACATATAACCATCAATTTTGTAATTAATTTCAATAAAGTGTGATTTTATATTTAAAGATGAAAAGAAAAATAGTTGGAATTCATAGAGAATGTAAAATGAAAAATTAAGGTAATAAAAAAAGTTATAATTTAGACATGCATTTATTATTTTTAATTCTAAATAAAAACTATCAAAAGTGAGTGTCAGGAATTATGAATCTAAACTTAGTGATCTACCATGAAGATTTGAACCACAAAATAATGTTGAATTAGAAATTTTGTGACTAAATAAAAAATCCAACACATAATAAATGAAACTAAAACAAAAATATCACATGTTTAAATTAATCCTACTCAAGAAGACTACAATTACAATTTCAATGTCATTCCATATTGGAGAGTCATCATCCAGTGTTGTTAACATTAGAATAGATATAAGAATTTAATATACTAAAGTAATAGTGAGAAATAATTCAAAAGACATAATATCTAAATTTATATGAGTATTTCGACAAAGAGATTCAGTTTACCAAATTGAGTAAAAAAATTGATTAAATTTCAGTTTGTTATATTAGTAAATTTTCTATCTTAACTAAAAGAGTATGTATTACAAGAAATCACACCTACCTCTTTCGGTGATAATCTAAAACGAAGGTGCGACTATATATTACATGTACGTGACAAAGAAGTGGTCATCACGATTTTATGAGAAAAAAAATCGTTGAATTGGGTGCAAACATTGGGCATATATGGAGGTGCGACCAATAGTTTTCGCTTCAACAGAAAATAATGACTATGAAACAGCAAAAGGGATGAGCCATCATAAATGGAGAAGAACAATGGCTATGAAGCTCCTTAATCCAAATATTTAGGATTTGTAGATATGGAAATATAAGATTTGTAATTATGGAGATATATATTAAAATAAGAAAGATATTATAGAATGACATGTAAATAAAAGAGATAATACAAAATGACATATAAACATTTTTTTTGACATGATAGCCTTTTAGAGATCTTTTAAGCTAATGTATCAACTTAATACAAAATAACTTGACTTTTATATTATAAATAAATAGGTAGATAGATAGATATAATACAAATATGTACAAAGCTTGTAAGTCAACTCCTCCAATAATAGGAACAGTGTTTAACTGATTCTAATGCTAATAGAATCACTAGAATCGTAGATATTTATCAATCAACGACACGCGCAAATTACCTTAATCAATCCTCAAATCACAGGGACTGGGAGAACATGTTTAACATAGTGCAACATATAACTTGAATAAGCGACCCCAATATGATGAACAAGAAGATCACAGCTTCAAAAACCTTTCTATTACAACAAACGAATTGCGAAAAAGAACAATTGATCTAACTATAATTCGTCTCCTCACTGCACTAAATATACAAGATTGAAGATAACAAAAATCAATCAACAAATCACACATATAAAGGTTTGTTGGTCCATTTTCTATTACTAAGGTCATTGAATTTCACTCACGTTCATATGCACAAATTGGAAAGAATCCAATGAATAATAAGATGAAAAAAAAAATTCCATTTATCTTTAGACACACTGTAACCACTTGAAAAACAATTTGACTCTGCTGATGTTATACGATGTAGGCTTGATAAATTATGCATGCTTTTGTGCTTTGCATCAGCCTGAGCACTCAAAGCTTTCCTTCATGCACTTCTGTTTTCTCTGTGGTTGGGTAAGACAACCTTCTTCTAGCTTTAGTAGTCCCTTTTGCATTACCTAAGGGTTTAGTCCCTTTAGCTTTAGCAGAAGGAGGTTTGATTGAAACTGCTTGTTTTTTTGATGACTTCTTATCCTTCTCAACTTTACTTGGCTTCCTGTTTTCATCTATCCTAGGGCTAGTGGTTACACTGGTGACACGGCTTTCCCAAGGGCGTGCAGCAATCCAACGGTCCTTCCAGCTCCAACTCCAACTAGCTTTGCCAAGTTCATAATTTCCTAGACCTTGGCTAGAGTTGGCCCTCCACTATTGTTCATAAGATATGCACGTGAATTTTAGTAGAACTAAGGGAAACAAGGTAATGTGAGTACTCATTGCTAAGATTAACCTACCTGATGAGAGAAGGCATATGCCATGGTTCTTTCCCTCTTGACTGCTGCTTCTTCTCTCAGATGTAACCTTGCAAGGATTTCCTCCATGGTTTCAGAACCACCACACCATTCCACCTGTTATTTGTTCAAACTGTTGGTCAGAAAAAGGGTGATGGAAGAAGGTCAAACAGACTCATGTATCTGGTGAAATAATTCCATCACTGTTATATGAAAAGGAAAAACAAATATCTGGAATCTGATTTCAATTAAGTACACATGTTTATGACATTTTGCTAAGCATTTTTTAATTTAGTACTATAGAAAATAGAAGTATCTAGAAGGCTAGATATGCATCACATAATTTCTAATACAAAATGATAGCAGCATCTTTACAAACAAAACCAACGTCCTAGTTAACTAAAACATAACAATTTGGTCTACATGAAATAATCAACTTCATGTTTTTTTTAATAATCATAATATTGGTAAGAAATATTCACCATTAAAAGTAGGGATTTAATCTCCATCGGAGACTATGAACACATACAAAGTAAGTATTCCCTTCTTAATATAATTTATTCCATATACAAGATAAGGATCCAAAATTTGGACAATTTGGTCAAGGAACACAAACTACTATCACTTGTACCAATCAATATTGGTATACACAACTTCATGCTTGGTAAGAGGAAATGAGGGAAAGGTGAAAACATTAGCATGGGCATCTTTGATATTTCCAAACATTTATACCAACGAGAGATATTTTGAACATGCCTCCAATGTCTAACCCCTAACTATAGGATTAGGGATGGCAACGGGGCGGGTCGGGTACGGGTTTTATGATACCCATCCCTGTCCCCGCAAGTCAAACCCATCCTTGTTCCAGTACCCGTATTCGTCGGGTATATAATTTTCATCTTCATTCTTGTCCCTGTCGAGTATCGGGTATATCTGTACCCGTCAAAAATTATTATTATTTTTTTGTAAAAAAAATACAATATTTTTAAATTATTTTCTTTTATATTATAATTATAATTAGGTTGTTTCTCTATCTCATATTATAATAAATAATCACACATAATAAAATATTAAAATTCTTTAACATAATTAAATCGGAAGTGAGCATTAAATTGAGAATGGGAACGGGGACGGGTACGGGGCAGGTAAATATATACCCGTACCCGTACCCGATTTAATATATCAGGTTTGTCAAACTAGATATTTCCTGTCAAAGTCGGGACGAGTTCGAGTATTACCCACGGATACAAGTATATTTTCCATCCCTATATAGGATAATGGACCTCAGAGTCAAGCTGATTCATGCAGAGATTCCCCACCCATGGTGCGGTTTCAGTAACTTAATGCATTTATAAGTCGCATAGAAAGGCATAAATAGATCTTCAAGATAATTACAAATAAATACATACTCAAAACAGGTAAACATATGAAACCACAAATATACCTTTGGATATTAATTAATATATAAACATAGTAATAGAAAGAGTGATCAACAAACTGACATCAGTTTGAAAAGAAAAATTGTAGAATACCATCAGTGGAAACTGGAAACCTTTTAGCATTACAAGCTAGCACACCATGAAGCAGGGAAGGTTACCTCCAGGTCATGAATCTTGGCCTCAAGTTTTAGTTGAGAATGTAGTTTCTTCCTCCTGATCCTGTCTTCTGTCACCATACATATGCGGCGAGCTCTAATCTCAGCTTGTATCTTGCTCCATGAATGAAGATAAGTTATAGTTGTAATGGCTTGTTTTTGAACAGAGCAACCTTGAGTCTGGATCTTCAGTTTTGTGAATCCTTTCAAGCGACGTAAATATTTTCTAGCCTAGTGGATTCAAAAGTGAGCACCATAAAACAAAGTCAGCAGAAGAGACTAACAGAAGGGTTGTATTATGATAAACAAGTAACACATGCATACATGTTTCAGCTTAAATAATATCATAAATGGTATGCATGTAAGACAATAGCATGTAGACATCCATAGTTGAATATAAAAAGAAACACACTTGTTACGGATGTGCTAGAATCATTAAAGTTGGGTTGGACTTGGTTTGTCTCTTCTCTGTGAAACTTAAATTCAAATTGACATACCTTATAAGCCCGGAATGCTGTTTGGATCCTTGTTGCAGCAATAGTTTCAACTGATACCCCATCAGACACTTGATTTTCACTTTTACTGCCATTTGCTAAACCATTTGACCTTTTTCCTCTATAATTCTTAGTCTGCAACACAATTAATTTTGATGAAGCTAAATATCCCAAATCCCAATCTCAAAATGTGAGCATATTTTTGGGGACAGAAATTTTCAGGTTACAACAGCCATCATACAAAACAAATTCCAATGTATTCTAACAAATGGCATCGCTGCAGCCTAAATAAAAAAATAAACAGCTAAACTAAGAGGTCATTATAAACAATAACATACGCTGCTTCTCATAAACATGATGTCAGACTCAAGATAAAACGTCAATTTGTAAAAGTCTTGTTTGAAAAGTGAAAACTAATTACATTAGCCCAATAGCATCAGATGATTCAAGTTAGTTGACCTCTATTAGTGAGGCTTGGTTCATGTTGTAATAACTTTTAGGCATATTGCAGTCCAGAACTTTGAATAATTTATGTAGAACAAATCTAAACTTTGCTTTTCAATTATGTCAACAAAGTATTGTGTTTTGACAAATGTCAGTCATTTCACTTCTGGATAAGGACTGACTCGTGTCTAAAGATAACTTACAGTTCAATCCATTATAGGAAAATGAGCACTCACTCTCCAAATCACAAAACCTTAACTACTAAAATAAGGCATGTGATACAGTATGATCTAGATAATCAAAGCATTCAAAAGATTTATTTGATTTTTCTGGAAAACAATGGCAATAAAGAGGTTTACAATAACTTGTTTCATACTCATCCAACTTAATCCATGCAAAAATCGATCAAAGAAATTAAAATTAACAGAAAGTCCAGTGTATTTGTACCTTTACTTTCTTCGATCTGCCTTCTTTTGATTTTCTTAAGCTAATTATCGTCTTAAACCAATCACCTGAACCCATTCTTGATGTCAAGTAGCTTCTTTCAAATTAACATAACCCTGGGATTGTTTTAATGAATATAAAAACATTAAAATAGCACTCTACAAATAAAGATTTTGCGTGTTATTCATAAACAGAAAAAGAAAACAGTGTTGGAGTTCTTGGGATCCTGTCCCCACAGTTTGTCGTTTCCCTTGTTGAAATAATTAACTGAAAAGTTTAGACCTGTTTCTTCAAACATTTGTAATCAAGCCTAATATATAAGTGTACAATTATTCATCCATGAAACATTATGTACTATTATCATATTGATTGGAATAGGATATCATAAGAATAACAGAATATTGGGATATAGGAAGTGAATATTAGGATTTTAAGCTGTATGGAGCAAGCCAAATGTTGAGAATTTATTGTAACTTTTAGAAATTTAGTATTTTAAGGTTGTAGGGTATTTTTAATATTAGGATTATTACATGTAGCAAATAAAGCAAGCTGGGTTTGCCTAGTCAAGGATATCTATTTACTAAGTTTAATTAGACGAATTGATGCTTGAATTTATTTTAAAATCTCTGTTTCTTCCCCCTTATTCTAGTTTTCCTCCATTTCTTTTTTCTCCCACTTCCTGTCTCACTTTCCCTCAGTCTCTTCTTCCCTTCCCTTATCACTAAACTATATCACATAACCACTCGTATAACGATTATATAACCAGAACTTCAGTCCTACAACCTGAACATAAACCAAATTTACAACCACAGGTCTTGCTAGTCATTGTACAACTAGATGCTATCGGCAATAACATGAAGGTCAGAGAGCATACATCTATCAGACTGCATCATAGTTTGCAGCCAGAAAAAATTAAGAAGCAATTATTTGTACATTTCAACAAAACTACAGCTATTATTATAGTCTATTATGTTCTAGTCAATATATAAAAACCGTTTGTTCCCAACAGTAATCACCCAGCCAACTGAAATTCACAATAAAACAACCCAATGATTAGCCTTCCACATCAGACTCATACTATGATCCACCAAAAAGATGGATCAACAACTAAACTGCTTTAAAAAAATGAATAAATCAATAACAAAAATAGATTACATGCTTGATTCCCTAGCAAGCTAACCAAAACATGCCAAAATCCATTCAGGTCTGGCAACATGCCACCCAGAATAACATTTATGAACCCAGAAAAGGGACCAAACAGTGCAAAAACAAGCAACATGCAACTAGGGGAGGATGACATACCAGAGAAGAAGGTGAGAAGTGTCCAAGGTAACCCTTTTTTACTCACTTGGGCAACAAGACTTCTGGATGAAAAAGGAAGTGGGGGACAATAATATCAGCATAGAAGTAAAGAGGAAGGAAAAATCAATACAAAGAGAGAAAAGAGTAAAAGGTAGTAGGTGTAAAACATGGCCCAATTCCACCTTTGATTTACAAGGAGAAAGAAAAAGAAGAAGAAGAAAAAAAAAAAACTCTCTTTTTCTCTGTCTCACTCAATCAAAGGCTCAACCGACGCAAATAAACACCGCAAGGCCCACACCGAAAAAGAAACAAAAAATGAACATTGGCGTGCAGTTTAGTCTGACAGAGAGTGTAACGTAATATTACATGACACGGTTGCATTCAACAACGGAGGCTACAGCGACAGTAGAACAAATCCTGACAACAGAATCTTGATGCTGACTCTGTTGCTTTTTTGGCACTTTTTTTATTCGTAAAAGGTAAACATTTTCATCTTTTGGAATGAAGATGAACACAGTGAGGTTCACACCCTTGACTTTGTCATGGAAATCTATCTATCTATCTATGCAATACAAGTCATAAGGTTTAAGTAAAATTAAATTAGAATTAAAAACCATTTATTTATTTATTAACAGTAATATACATTATGAACCAGCTTTGGTCCCGGCGAGGCTCGAACTCGCGACCTTCGGCTCATAAGACCAACGCTCTAACCAACTGAGCTACGGGACCTTGACATTTTGTTAATATTTGATTTTTTCTTTCTCAAGTATGCACTTAAAAAATAAATAGCAATTGTTTCATTAAAAAAAAAGGCAAAAATTTACTTATGTTAAAAAAAAAAAGTTAGACAAACACATAAAAAAAATAAAAAGTACTTATTTTATCAAAATAAAAGTACTTTTATTAAATAAAAAATAAAATAAAATAAGCAAACCCACTTTTATATTATGTTGTCAAGTTTATGTACTATATTTGCTTACGAAATTTCAATTAGTCTAGGTATATTTGGAAACAACTCATGAAAATACATAAAAGTGTGGGACCTTATATAATGAATGATCCTCCTGGCCGCATTTGACTTTCACTTAACAATAATTTATTTTCTTTATATTTAATGAAAAAATATATATTTTATATTAATTTTTATTATTAATGTCATTGCGTCTCGTTTTATCTAGATATAGCATGAATCTAATTTATTTTTTAGAATTAAATTGAAAATAAAATACAAAATCTACAAGCAAATTAGGAATTAAGTTTTTGTTAAGAAATAGTAAAGGGATAAACCACAAAAAAAAAGTCTATTAACACACTATCAACGAACTATGTTTGTAGAATTGTTTAACGTTGTAACAGTGTGTTATGAGTTGTATGTTTTATTTAAATTACATGTCATTTGATTTATATTGATGTGATGTTTTTGGTATTTTTAGAGTCATAAAGATTTAGTATTTTTTAAGTATTTAGATGTTTGAAGTTGTTTTGTGTTGAGATTAAAGTTGACTAAAAATAGGAGAAGGTATATAAAATTTTTTGATAACTTCAATTTCATAAGTTCATTTCTTAGAGTTTTAGAAAGAAGTTTCTAGAGATATGAGCTTTGGACCCAAAAGAGTTTTCTTTTCTTTCAACTTCTTTGGAGTGATCAAATATTTCTCTTAAGTTACTTGTGTAGTATCTAACTCGTGATTCGAAGTTGAGGAACTAAGAAACAGATATTGAAGTTGTTGTATGATGAGTTTTCATGAAGTTTCATTCTTCGTCGTTCTTCCTTTTTCTTTCTCATTTTTAGAAGATTCAAGGTAAGATAAACTTGTAGTTTAACCTTTTGCATTGAATATATTGATTTTGCTATGTTGATCATGCCTTGGATGGTATTGATGTTGAATTGGAATGATAAGAACTTTGTTGCTCTATGTTTTTGGTTTTCTTGGTGTTTTGAACTTGAATCGTATTGTTGTTATATATTGCATTTCTTGTGAAATCTAAGTTGTATTGATTGCATAAATGTTGATTGGAAATTTGCATGTTGAATTTGAGATGAAATTGATGAATTTTTAGATGAGAAGTTAAGTTGTTTTTCAGTGAAAATCCTACTCTCTCCCAGTGAGAGCTTACGATGTCCAATGCACGCTCATGATCTGATGAGCACCTATCCAAAATCATGATCTCCCTCAATGACAAAAGTGTCACTCAACAAGAGAATAATTCTATGGCTAGGCCATCCAACGATACATATTGCGCTCGAAAAAGGACCCGTAGGGAGTTTTGCTCGATAGTGAGATATGATCATCTAACGAGAAGACCCACATAGGGTGTTAATTACTTAGCGAGCTATTGACTACTCAACTACAAGTTCCAAAGAAGTTTGACCGTCTAGTGAACCGAAAGCTTGCCCAATGAGAAAAGTCATGAAGTGCTTTCTTCGTTGAGCGAGAGTAGTGTCGCTCAACGAGGAGCTTTAGAGAGCTTAGCTCGCCCAACTAGGACTCTGTTTTCTTGAATTTCTTATGATTTATGCTTTAATCCTATGAAAAAGTTGAAATTTTATTTATTATGAAAATATGTTGTATTATGTTTCTATGGTTAATTAATCATGTTGTAGAATGTTGAAAATGAAATATGTTAAGTTGATTAAGTTGAATTATATGATGTTCCTAATGTTATAAGTTGTGTGATAAATTGAGTTGAATTGTGAAAATGCATGATGCATGTTGAGTCGTGTTGTGAACTTAGAATTAGAAGAGAAAGTGTTGTTTTTAAAGTTGAAATATTCCATTATGTGAATGTGTTGTGATATTTTGAAAGTCCACTGTTGAAAATCTTTCTTGAGTAAATTGTCTATTGAAGTGGAGTTTTGAATCTCATATAAGTCCTTAGTTAATACAGTATGGGGTTAGTTCAAATCATACTATTTATGTTGTGACCTTTGAGTAAGGTATGAAGTCAAAAGGTAAAACCCTTAACTGATTATTGAAAAAAAACGTGGTATCAAGAGGATAGTTAGTAGCAGGCTACACCTACATGTGACTTGGTTAATGCATGTCAATGTCGAGGTGAGATCATACCCAAGCTATACTATACTTGACGATGATACCAGACCTTCCTAATTTAAGTGACAATATCTAAGTAAGCATTTTTGCATTAATATTGAATTGGTAGCCAAAACTATATTGTATGAAATAGATATTATGGATCTTTCTTTATTTTGTCAAATATCTTGTTTTTTATACTTTAAAATAAATATTTTGTAATAAGTATTTGTAAAAGAAGTAATTCTTAAAAAAATAAATAGCAATTGTTTCATAAAAAAAAAGCAAAAACTTATGTTAAAAAAAAGTTAGACAAACACATAAAAAAATTAAAAAAGTACTTATTTTATCAAAATAAAAGTACTTTTATTAAATAAAAAAATTAAACAAGCAAACCCATATTATATTAAATTGTCAAGTTTATGTACTATATTTGCTCACGAAACTTCAATTAGCCTAGGTATATTTTGAAACAACTAATGAAAATACATAAAAATGTGGGCCGTTATATAATGAATGATCCTCGTGTGGCCATTTGACTTTCACTTAACAATAATTTATTTTCTTTATATTAAATGAAAAAATATATATATTATATTAATTTTTATTATTAATGTCATTGCATTTCGTTTTATCCAGAGATGACATGAATCTAACTTATTTATTTAGAATTAAATTGAAAATAAAATATAAAATCTACAAACAAATTAAAGCTAAGTTTTATTCCTCATTATAGATATCTTGAAAAAAGATTTATCTTTTTCTCTTGAATATATGAATTTTGTCATCTACTTGCGAGTGAAATGATCTAACAATGCGATACCATCTTTGTCTAAAACAATGACTTATTTTGTACATTCCTCAGATGGTAGCATTATTAGTATTTCAGAACTTTTTTATTAAACCAAATGTCTTCTTATGTATAGGTACTACCTACAGTATAATAATTTATTTTTAAATTTTAATATAAAACTTGTGTAATACAAAAATTAAGTGATATGAAATCTATCTATATATATATATATATATATATATATATATAATGGGGTTATAATTACACCGGTGTAACTTTTACTAAGTGTTACACTATTTAATAACTTTATATTAAATATGAATTTTGTAAATCCAATCGTTAGATTGAAAGTTCTTTACTCTTACATCATATATACATAATTTTATATTAATTCAAGATGATTTAATACTTCATTCTTATAAAACAAAATTGACGTAATATATTCATTTAAAAATATACTAAAATATGAATTACCTTGAAGTTGTTATTCAATTTTAACAAAATTTGATATACACATATAAAGTAATATGAACTTTCAATCTAACAGTTAGATTTACAAAATTCACATTTAATATAAAGTTATTGAGTGATGTAATACTCAGTAAAAGTTATATCGGTGTAATTATAACCCCTATATATATATAAATAACTCATACCAAAGATTTATATTCAGTTATCACCATATATATATATATATATATATATCCCACAATGATTATTCAATTATTGTTAGGTGAATAGTATTATTGGATCTATTGCATTTTTTTTTTTTTGCAATCATTATTAAAATTTCAACCTTGTTGGACAATTTAAGAAAAAGCAAAAAGTCCAATTATAAGTTGTGAGGCCGGACAAAACTTGACTAACGGTATTTTAGCAAGTTGTACCTTCAATTAGTTCAAAATGATCTTTAAGTGTTACACATTGCAATCAATGAAGAACAAAGAACTTAGAATGCATTTGTAAAAATATTTTTGACAAAGACCGCAAAATAAGCTTGAGTACATTAATATTTATTGAAGAAATATAGTAACATATATGTTAAATAAAAATAACATTAAAGTACATTTTTCTATTGTCAGATGATTGAGGTTACTAAACCCTAAACTATAAGAAAAAACCATGCATCACATTACCAAGCCTAAGTCTAAGTGAAGAGGTAGTTACTTCTCAATCTACAAATAAGCTAATGCGATAGTCGAATATACGGTTCTTTTTGAAATGTCTGTGGCATGAAAGAGGAAATTACATTCTACTAAAGTTTCTGAACAATCGAAAAGAGTCTTCTATTATGATTCCAATAGAGAAGAATTACAAAGTCATTCTTACTCATTACCAAGCCACGAATAATCAATTAGTGT